ACATACCTGTTCGAACATAATCTGATCCGGGAATGTTGTTGAATAAACACACCTGTGCTGCACGGTTCCCACTATATTTACCATTATGATGACGTCATTCCTGTCATTTTCCCTGGAGAGTTTTAAAACAAACTCCATCTGTGTTCTAAAGGCGGCCTCAGTGCTGGGAGACTGGACAATGAGGAAGGTGTCAGCCATAGCCAGGTGTCGTGGGTCCGTAGTTTAAAAAAATATTTATTTTTTAAACTACCAGTACCAACACGAAAATCTTTAAGTACATTTAATATCCTTTTTTTATTAGCGAGGCGAATAAATTTTTTCATGTTTTTGTTTTAGATGTCTTGAAGTAATTTTTTAAAATTAAATAAAAGGAAATCTTTGCTTTAATTGATAACCTAAAATATAAACAACAACTTACTAACTGATAAGGTCGGTTCACTCGGCTAAAATAAAAGTGAAATATAAATACAAACATGGGTATTCAAAAGAATTAATTAAAGTAAAAACTAATAACAATGTCGATACATCATTCGTTTTAATTTTTTGACGAAACTTCGCCCTCTTCTACTGTAGCTTGGAAAAGTGAACGCTGTGGTCTTTATAATGTTTTGGAAGTTCAAGACCCAAGCGTTAAGAAACACATCCTTTACCTAACCCACATCCTATGCTGCACACGTATCGTATGACACTTATAATGTTTTGGAAGTATAACATGTTTTAACTATCCAGCGATGTACACAATTGTATCAATTTTCGTTTATTTGTTAGCTCAAGTAGAGTAAATGTGTTGCATCTGTAATTAGGGAAATCAACTAAATAATAATGAAAGATATAGTGTACGTAGCCTTAGAATGGCTTTTTTTAATCCCTACCTATATAATAAAATAAACCTAACTAATGTTTGATGGAAAGCCACATACCGCCCTCGCAATCGGAGGAAAATAAACATCATCTGTACAAAGACATTTATATATATATATATATATATATATATATATATATATATATATATATATATATATATATATATATATATATATATATATATATATATATATATTATTTATTTATTTTTATATATATATATATATATATATATATATATATATATATATATATATATATTTTTTTTAGTTAAATTATTTTTAGTTGATTTTGTTAGTATAAAGTCCTTGATAAGTAATGTAGTTGTGTATATTATGTAACTGAACTACTTTGTCAAATGATCGCTGCAAAAAATACAAACCTTCACTTTGATCACTTTGATCACTTTGATCACTTTGATCATTTTCATCGCTTTCATTGCTGTCATCGCTTTTATCGCTGTCATCGCTTTCATCGCTTTCATCGCTTTCATCGGTCTCATTGCTTTCATCGCTGTTATCGCTTTCATCATCAATATCTGAATTTGCTTCATTCACAACCATCTGTATTTCTTCTTTACTCAAAGCTTCATCTGCCAGACCATCATGTAGAGAACACGAAATATCTTAAATAGCTTAGGTCGCTGTTTTCAGGGCCAGAGTACGAAATGTTCTAAGATGGTCAATGATTATAACAAAAAGGTCAATGAACTGAATTTTTCTAAAATGGTCAATGCATAATATTTGCAGATCAACGAACAGATCGTTTCTTGGATTGCTCATGTAACTTATAAAATCAGAACACAAAACATTTCTTATACAACCCAAGTCACTTACTACAATGTCTAAAGACGAACCTAATTGTTGTTGGCCCACGCAACTTATTCTATGCCGATATTATTATAGTCTTTAGGGTATCACCAAACAAGCAAACTTATCAAATATTTATCACTTGCCCGCGGCTTGTCCCGATACAGATGCGATAATGCCTTAACATACAGTTCTATTTTTTCATCGTTGACGTTCTCTAAACCAAGGGTAGGCGACAGTAAGGCAGTTAACACAGCATCCTCGTCCTCGTTAGACACAGATTCAACAAGTTCAATCAGAGTTTGTTGAGCTAATGCAATATAATAAAACAATCTCACTGAAATACGATCAAATAACCTATTATTGGAATCATAAATAGTGTATGACAGCTCATTACCCGACTATACTGGTACTTTTTGAAAACCCTTTAAAAAAATTATTATAAGTAATTTTTATACCGGTAACGTTCCAGTTGCTCCCGGTCTTAATAGACATGTCTATAATTATATTAATATCTAAAATAATGAGATCATTGTTACTGCTCACACTAATATTTTACCTTAAACTTTTACAACGCAATAGATACATAGTTCTTAAAAAATAACTTCATTTTACCATGACTTGCAATTTATAAAACAGAAGTTTTTAAAAAAAATAAAAAAAACTATGCAATATGAGTTTAAATGTAGATATATCCATGATATATATATATATATATATATATATATATATATATATATATATATATATATATATATATATATATATATATATATATATATATATATATATATAAATATATGTATATATATACATATATATATATACATATATATATATATATATATATATATATATATATATATATATATATATATATACATACATTTATATATATATATATATATATATATAGATATATATATATATATGGTCATATACATTTAGTTTTAAAACGATAGATATGAAGCGATTCGAAAGTAGCCTCGCTAATCCGTTTTGATTGTGAGAATATATCAGTTTACTCATACGTTTTTAAGTAGGCCTATTTATAATTGTAAGAAAATCAATTTTAATAGTAAATGAATGCAAACAAAAAAAGGTACAACATATTTTATTCAATTCTAAATATCTAACAGTTTAAACACTTGTAAAATCATTTTTTTTCTAAATATATAAATTCTAAATATAATGTTTTTTTTTAAATTTAATAAATTTAAAAAAAGCCCAGTCCTTTGAAAAGTCAGTATAACAAAAAATGATAAAAATAATGCTCAATGTTTCTCTTCTGATATGATGATCAATGACACTATGCTCAAAATGCTAAACAAGAAGATCGACTTGCCAAAATGGCTTTGACCATAGGAGCTATGACCATAGGGGTTTTGACCACAGCGAGACTTTGGAGAAAACACAAAACTATAGTTTCCTGGGAAAGTAAAGGCATCAGGGCAAGGTAAAATTCATGACATAACTTCACACGTACAGGTCATAAAACAGGCACATTCTACCTTATCTATCACCAATGACAGTATGGTAGCCAATAGAAATATATTTTTAAATTCTCAGTTAGTGTCAAATTTAGATCTTTCCTCACAGGCCTTTAGTTATAATTATTTATTTCGTGCTTAAAGATAATCGATGCTCTCAGTCTCTAAATTATTGTATCACTCAGTCATTCAGTCATGTAATAACGAGTTCACTCAGCCATTTATTTAAATCACCGGTCATATACGCAATCGTTGTATTACTCAGACACTCAATCTTTAAACAATTTCAAGTACCTAATATCAAGATTTTAGACCTTGTAAATAGTCGAGTCATGTCGACGGTAGAAAGTTTACTCACCACATTTGCCATCACAGTCAAGCAACTGTCATGGCCTGTACAGCTGATAACTTTCTATGCCTTCATGTCAATGTAAAGCTTTGTCTTACTGTTGCATCCCCAAGTGCTGAAACGCAGCCTACAAAGTTTTGTAACCTCAAAGTTTATTTACAACCAGCTCAGAATTTTCCCGCAAGTGTTAACCACGTATCTATTAATGTTTTAGCTCATGATCTGACCTCACATCACGAATATGAAAGTTCTAGAACGACAATTATAAATTCCATTCCCTGGTAACTAAACTAGATTCTGTCGTCCTGCTTGTCCTGCTTCAAAACAACGCGTTCTATAAATATTGAGGACTATTTTATTGTCACATATTTTAACATTTTTTTTCGAAATGTGTTTTTTTTTAATTTTAATAAATGGTTAGCTTATTACTTATAGTAAAGAAATAGTAGATAGTTAAACCTATTATTATTGAGTTCGAAACTCTTGAGTTCAAAAGCGGGTTTAAGTTAGTACAATGTCCATGAGTACACCCAGCTCTAATGGGTACCTAACTCACGTTAAAGAAAATATCGACGGATGTGGACAGTGCTGACCACACTATCCCTTTACACGATGAAGTCATAGAATCTGGTTTAATCTACTTCACTTGTCCCATTAACCGTTATGTTCGAAAAGGGAACTTCACTAATTTTTTCAATGACATGGAATAACAGAAGATATGGCATATAAAATCTTAAGAGACATAAACAACCTAAACCTCTAGAGAATAACCCGTTGATGGTAAATTAAAATTGTAGGTCTACTGTAATAAATTGACAGTAAAATATTTAGTTAAAAGAAATAATATATTATTTTAGAAAATAATTGTGTACACATTATTTTAGATTTAATTATTAAGTTATATTATATTAATAAATGCTTGCTATAATATAAAAGCACGAAAAAAGGCCGTACAATAAAATACTGTTAATAGCTCGCAATAGTTTTAAATATTCAATTTTACTTTCTTGTATACAATGCGATTTTCACAAATCTCGAGGTATTATAGATCACTGAGTCGGGAAAAAACTCTCTCTCTCTCTCTCTCTCTCTTTGCGTGTCTGTGTCTATCTGTATGTCTGTGGAGACTATACCTTAAGAACCGTTTCAGCTATGCTGACGAAAATTCATGCAGAGGTATTATATAAAATACATAGTTTTGTTTCAACTTTTGAAAGATTTTCCGTAACTGGAAGTAACTAACTGAACGTTCGGTTTCTGAACAGCTAATATTGATGTACATATTACTACAATACAGAATATACGGTTTCATCGCGTGTCTATTCTAACCCAGGTTTAAGAATTGTCCACCAAGGCGAATTTTAAACATTTCAATTTGTTCCACTCCAGTTTTTAATAGCATACTTTGAGAACCGTTGAGGGTAGAATTACCCATGCTGGAATGGATAACCTGTGAAAACCTATCTAGGTCATGATATTGTAACAGGCAGGTGCATCAGACCAGGTGTATCAGGTGTGCTTTATAACAGGCGAGGTGCATCAGGTATGGTATATAACAAGCAGCAGTTCTCTTCATATCATCAAGTGTGTGTGACATAACCACGGCACAGCCACTGGTAGCACAAATGAGTTACAGGCAAACAACGATGGATTATATGTCTTCGCATTCACTGTAAGAGGTTTTAGAAATTTTATAACTAGCTTTAGGATGTATGTGTGTTTTGGTTCAGTGTAAACTCGTTGTTTGTTATCGGTGGATAGTAGACTGTCATATGGGTTGACTGTCAATTGGAGAGTAGTTTAGATTTAACTGCATACCCTTTACTTACTAGAGCTTTATCTCATTGGTTTGTTAATCATATAACTAAAGTTACAACTGTTGAAAGAAACAAATAATATCGACATACTGGTATTTGAGCCGTGTTTCGGATTAATATTAGACGTAAGTTTCCTGTTAACAGACCCTATACAGTTTCTTGGTATCATTAATATCAAGATAGAAATATAAATACCGTACTTTGACCGCATTTCTTTATGTGCTACACACTATTCATATGATACAACCAGAGGCTTGTTTTTATGTCAGTAACTGTTACAGCAGTACTTGATGACAGTTTGTCAGTAACTGTTACAGCAGTACTTGATGACAGTTTGTCAGTAACTGTTACAGCAGTACTTGATGACAGTTTGTCAGTAACTGTTACAGCAGTACTTGATGACAGTTTGTCAGTAACTGTTACAGCAGTACTTGATGACAGTTTGTCAGTAACTGTTACAGCAGTACTTGATGACAGTTTGTCAGTAACTGTTACAGCAGTACTTGATGACAGTTTGTCAGTAACTGTTACAGCAGTACTTGATGACAGTTTGTCAGTACATGTTACTGCAGTACTTGATTACTGTAATCGTCAGATGAAGTGGTCGGAGGCTAGGAAAGACATTGTTTAATAAACAACTTTCGTCTGAAAATGTTTGTGAGGTGTGGGGTCATTTATGATCTACATCAGGGGTCTCCAAACTACGGCCCGCGGGCCGGGTGCGGCCCGCAAGGTCCTCTCATCCGGCCCGCGGAGATCTTTTTGTCCACGGAAAAATGTTTCTTAGAGGTGGCTGAGGAACTTTGCCCAGAAAATTCAAAACAATTTGAAAATGTAGCTGTGGGTGCAAATACTTTTGTCCGCCGTGTTGCAGACATTGGTGAAAACATCGTGACTCAAATAGCGAAAAATGTAAGCACGTTTCACTATTTTTTAATTGCAATGGATGAGTCGCTGGACATATGTTTCACCTCTCAACTGCTTGTGTTCATTAAGGGTGTGGATCAAGACATAAACATAACACTAGAGCTGGCTTCCCTACATAATATGTATGGCACAGTTACCGGAGAGGATATATTCAATGAGTTAAAGAAAACATTTGCTGATTATAACTTGGACTGGACTAACCTGTTGATGGAGAACTAACTGTTGATGGGGAAAAGTTACATTAGTGGCATAAAGAAAAGCTTGGTTGGACAAGCGAATGAGAAAAATATTCTACAACTACACTCTATTATTCATCAGCAAGCTTTGTCTGCTAAATATATGGATATTAGTAGTGTACTGAATCCTGTGGTAAAGATGGCAAATTTAATAAGGTCACATGGGTTCAACCATAGATATAGAATACCTGAAGAATAATTTGAGAGTAAACTTGGACCTCGAGTTTGTTGTCGACAACCGACAGTGTTTCTTTCAGTTTTTTCTCTGGGGGGAGGGGGCGGCACTTGCAATTTGTATATCTTTGTATGTAAATTATATTTTTTTGGTGGGGGGTGAGGGGCGGTGGACGTTTTGTGTGTGTGTGTGGGGGGGGGGGCTCCATAACACCGAAGATATGCCTTTAAGAAACTCTGGCCCCCGAACTGATATTTGATAGTCAATGCGGCCCTCGGTCTGAAAAGTTTGGAGACCCCTGATCTACATAGAAAACTTAATATAAAAATATAATACAGTATTGATTAAAAATTGAAAGTTTAAAAGACTGGTTTATATTATTGCAATTCGTTACATTGAGATATTTATTAGGTAAAATTGTCTTTGCTTATTTAAGATTTTAGAGCGCGTTTGTGCATTATCTGACAAAATATTTTTCGTCTTCTGGTGTAGCTACGGACATCCCAGAGACGGGGTAGCAGAGTTTAGTTTGACTGCTGTTCATGACAGGACTAACATAGCTGCTGATGACAATAGCAAGAGTGATGACGACATATATTCCAAGATGGCTGCCGGTGTGTTTACGTGTATTGGAGAGAAGGAAAGCCGAGAACGATTCACAGATTTCACTGTAGTAGTCCAGGATGTCAAGTTCAGGTGCCACCGTTTTATTCTGAGCGCGTGTTCCACGTTTTTTGAAGCTCTGCTTAGAACTGATATGAAGGAGACAAGCGAAGGTACCGTGGCGCTGGGTGGAATGGAACCTGCGACCTTTTCTCTAATCCTCGATGTCTTGTATGCCGGTGCGAACATTTTGTCAACAGAGAACATGTTTGTAGTCTGGCACGCTTCCAATCAATTACAGATCGATTTTTTAATCAAGACATGTGAGGAATTTGTGATTAAAAATATGACGTCATCGAACTGCTGGACTGTGTACAATGAAGCCACAAAACTGGACTCGGCCAAAGTTTTAGGTGACGTCAGAAAGTATCTGACCGTCAACTTGCCTGACGTAATTGTCAGTGACAGCTTCATGTGTCTGTCACTTGATGACATGATTGGCATTCTCCAACATCAGCCTCGGCCTGTCTGCACAGACTTTTCTGTCTTCTGTCTGCTGAGGTGGGCGTGTGCTGAGACAGACTCTATTCGCGTCATGTTCAAGGCCACCAATCCTCAGAATATTAGGATGGCATTCCAATTCAGTGGCCAGGGAATAGTTGCAATACAACGCATTCCACCCAAACCCAATGTATGTGATAGGAAGACAGAGGTCTTCAGAAGGTCTTGCTTGAGCCAATTGCTGGAGAAGGTTGACCTGACACAAGCCAGCGTTGATTGCCTGACCTATCTCATGACCAACGAGTTTGTTGCTGACCACAGAGACGCCATACTGCTAGTTAACAGAGCGTCAGCCCAGAGATTTGGTGGCGGTGGCCACGCACAAGTTACAACACACACAATGTTTGGTGCCATGCCGGCAGGTAGACTGGGCACATGCAAGCACTGTCAAGGGGGGTTGGTTTATCAGTGATGACAGGATACGTCTTCTGTAAAGGGATGGTGTGGTTGTGTTCTTGTCTTGTGTCGTCTCTGTATCTATGTTGGGAAAGGGGTGGGGTGGGGTGGGTTCTTGTCACTTGTACTACTCAAGTGGCCAGTGTTCATCTATCAACCTGATTTTCTGACAAACATCTCGACTAAAGAGAAAAAACTGCGTGACCCACTTCTCTGTGTCAAGCGTCAACATCTTCAGCTACCTTATGACTAGCCGGAAGTACAAGGAGAGCTTCAATACCCTCATCAAGTTGGGTTCAATCTAGTTTTTATTAAGGAGACTTTCTACACCGTCTTCAAAAAGGGTTTGACATCTAGTTTCCATAGGAGAGTCTGCCATCTCCTCAAGATGGGTTCATTGTAGTTTTTATTAAGAAACTTTCTGTAATGTCTTCAGTTGTTGTTTTAAGTTTAAATTTAGATTTCTCTGTTGTTTAAAAGATAAGTTCGAAGTAGTTTTATTTAAAATCTCGATTGTTTTTATTGCACGGATTACAAGACTTTCTTTATACTTCTTATTTACGAGAAAGTAAAAATACTAGGCCCTATTCGCGTAAACCAAGACGATACCACTAATTTTCATCTATTAGGAAGTGTCTAGATAGCTGAGATGTTAGTGTAATAGTTACCATGCAGGTGGTACGTGTACGAGACACATAACGTCATTGTTAAAAAAAAATTTTTTAGATGTGAATGATAAAGTTGCCTATCTGGACTAGGCGGGACACAGGGCAGTTGCAGTAGAGTTCACCTGTTTCTGTGTCCTCAGCATATGAAGCATATGAAGGATATAGTGTATTCAGAGCCATGCTCGGCCGAAATATTTTATTTTTTAAAATGATTTAAGACATGTCTGAGACTTGGCGGGACACTGGGCAGATGAAGTAGAGTTGCGTAGGTGTAGTTTTTACTTGGGACGTCAATATATGAAGGGATAGTGTGGTCAGACCCATGCTTAGCAGAAATCGGTGTTTTTAAAAAACAAAAACGTCTGAGGTGTGACGTCTTTTTGAATGTGGGGGTCTGTTTTTTTATGACGATAAGTGACTGACGTGATGTCATTTATGTTACCAATTATGGTAATGAATGTTGTAATATATAACCACATAGAGCTGATTAAAACAAGGTGGGGGTGAAGCGGAGGTTGAGGCTGAATTACTTTTTCTAATTTTATTTAAAAACATGGCGGCTCATTTTTTTGGACAATAACCATGCGCAATGGATAACACTCAAGGAAATAATTAAGCAAAGAGACTTCTTATGTGTTTGAATCTTTGCCTGTATGTCTTTCTCTAGAAGGTTTTTATTTATCGATGTTTTAAAACATTGTTATCTGCTTATCAGTGTATGTATTCACATGTAATAGCATCTATTTGTATGAAGGTTGGATAAAGTGGTTTGTGGGCTGGACGTTAAGCTGTAGTTGTAAGCTGAGGTGTAACTATAAGTTGATTTTTTTGTTGACGTATAATTGTAAGTTAGGTTGTAATAATTGTAAATTGAGGAGTAAACGTTTGTAAAAGTAAATTACATAAACCACAACGGGATGAAGCTATTGATAAGATGATTCTTGATAAATGACAAGTAGGACTCTGACACGTGACATGATGGACACTGACAGATCACATGGTGGACACTGACAGATCACATGGTGGACACTGACAGATCACATGGTGGACACTGACAGATCACATGATGGATACTGACTAGTTGGATATTGACCAGTTGGATACTGACCAGTTAGACACTAACCAGGTGGATACTGACCAGTTAGACACTGACCAGTTAGACACTGACCAGTTGGATACTGACTAGTTGGATACTGACAGATCACATGGTGGGCACTGACAGATCACATTGTTGATACTGACCAGTTGGATACTGACCAGTTGGATACTGACCAGTAAGATACTGACCAGTTGGATACTGACCAGTTGGATACTGACCAGTTGGATACTGACCAGTTGGATACTGACCAGTTGGATACTGACCAGTTGGATACTGACCAGTTTCAAAAGAGAATGACATCTAGCTAATTTTAGATTTTTTATTATAATTTAATTTTTTTTACTGTCTTTGCTTAGGGTTTGAGTTAGAGTTAGTCTTTAAGAAAAATAGGTTGATCAAATGTCAAACTAGAAGGAAAGAAAATTAGCTAGTCTACCACGTCATATTAAAAACCCACTAGAGTAAAGTCTCATTTAAACAACAGACTGACAAAAACCCACTTATAATGAGATCTTAAACCAGTTCCGTTTTCACCAGTGGTTTGCTAATAAGATAACGCAAGGGTCTCTTTTCATGACCTGAAACGTCTATTTGTATACAACGCTTTGCTTTATGATTGAAAAAACCCCCACTTATAATGAGATTTTAAACCAGTTCCGTTTTCACCATTGCTGTCAAATGAGATAACGCAAGAGTCTCTCTTCATGACGTGATACGTCTATTTTAAACAACGCTTTGCTTTACGATTGACAAATAAGTTAAGTGGAAGTACAAGTGGTGTTTTTATGTTTCTATTTTTAAAATGGTATCAGTGTTTTGTATTAGAGGTTTGGGCAGATGGGCAGAAGTAAGGTTTGGCCTCTTTCAACAACACATATATCTGTAAAGTAGAATCCTGTTGGGAAATATTTATTTTAAAATGATCGTTTCTAGTTGAAAAAAAGAAATAAACAACTATAGGCCTACAATTTTAAGCTCTTAACAACTGTATGTAAGGGAAAACGATGTTATGTTGTTTGTACATCCACGTGAGGACCATGTTGTATACAGATTATGTTGAAACAAATCACATATGTGTAGCAACATAATGGCAAACAATACTAAAACTTGTTAGCATACATTTTCATAATTTCTACACACTTGCACTAAACAACTCAGTCAGATTTACACCGTCAGGACAGGATTAGGTATTGGCAACATGCCAGTCTCTCACTGACAGAAACAGGACGTAAGACCACGGAAACAGGATCTAGGTCACTGAAGAGTACAACAGATAACCGTACAGGACAAGTGGCCACTCTACAGGACAAGTGGCCACTCTACAGAACAAGTGGCCACTCTACAACAGGTCACGTGTACGGGACAACAGGTCACGTGTACAGGACATCAGAGATCATAAAACCAAAGTGTATAGCATTTAACATTTTAAACACAACATAATTTACACATTAAAAAGCAAACCCCATCAATGTACTTGTCGACAAAAATAAACGAACTAATCTAATTTAAAAAAAAAATGAAATACACAATTTACCCGTTTTATGTTGTAAATGTCAAACTTATTTGGGTTTTGAGACAGGGGCGGTCTGTGTGTTACATATACCACATTACAATTTTTGCAAGGGGTTAAATAGAAAAATGGAATTCATCCAGAAGATTTGGGTTTTACTTTGCTTCTGCTTAAACTTCCACTATATTGTATACAACAGGCACGAACTTGTTATATATTAAGTTGTATTTCCATAAAATATGTCGGCTTATTTCACGAAAACAAAATTCACATTCTCTTTGCGCGTAGACTACATATCGTGCTATTTTAATCCAACACCATCTCTCTTGCAACAAACCTGAGAACCATCGATAGTCTCCCCATCTGCCCTTACCCAGCTAGTTGTGTCCCATAGCTCCCAACATTGGAGCCCCTACCCAGCTAGTTGTGTCCCATAGCTCCCAACATTGGAGCCCCTACCCAGCTAGTTGTGTCCCATAGCTCCCAACATTGGAGCCCCTACCCAGCTAGTTGTGTCCCATAGCTCCCAACATTGGAGCCCCTACCCAGCTAGTTGTGTCCCATAGCTCCCAACATTGGAGTCCCTACCCAGCTAGTTGTGTCCCATAGCTCCCAACATTGGAGTCCCTACCCAGCTAGTTGTGTCCCATAGCTCCCAACATTGGAGTCCCTACCCAGCTAGTTGTGTCCCATAGCTCCCAACATTGGTGTAAAAAGACATTTTTAAGTTGGTAGAGCACAGCCAGATGTAGGACATTGATATTTGTAAAGCTATTTTAAATAAATCAAAACTTAAACTATATTTTTACTATCGTAGATGTGCAGCATTTCTATTTTTTTTAAACCGGTTTATATTAAATTCACGTGGTAGAGGAACAACATGCTAATGATATAAAATATTGTTTAAAATACAAACTAAACATACATTAAATATAATAAACTAAATGTTGAATTTACAAGAATAATTATCTATATTACCCCCCCCCCCCCCCACTTTCCCAATAGACTTACAAGAGGTTTACAAATGTAGCACAAACAAGGATGTGTTTTGTTAAATGGTTCACCCCACTTACTGTGAAGTTGGTAACGCCCACTGAGTCATGCTGTGAGAAAAACCGTTTAAAAAGTGAGCAGTCATTTCTTAGCATTGGTCAACCGTGTACAACAGACTTAGGTAAGGTTTGTCATGTATTCACGTCAGTAGTTTTTGTATTACTCATTTTTCTAATTTGCTTATATAAAACATAATTTATAGTATATATTATTTCAAAGTGGTAGACAGTGTTGGTATTAATTTTGCATATATATATATATATATATATATATATATATATATATATATATATATATATATACACACATATATACATATATATATATATATATATATATATATATATATATATATATATATATATATATATATATAATATATATATATATATATATATATATATATATATACATATATGTATATATATATATATGCATGTATATATATATATATATATATATATATATATATATATATATATATATATATATATATATATATATATATATGTATATATATGTATATAGTACACACTTGTCATGGAATTGCTTAGGAATTTTTATCATGTACATAAAATGTACATAAGAATTATATAAAATGTACATAAGACAGACTACCTAACCAATTAAGGCACGGTGTAGGCTTACACTTTTCTTAATTTCTACTGGTCATATATTCTAGGTTCAAGACTCTACTTGCCTTATGTTCTACTTGCCCTATGTTCTACTGGCCCTATGTTCTA